CATGGAGCGTATGACGGCGAAAAGAAAGTTATGCAGAAGCACAATCCGGGCAAAAGCGCCCAAGACAGACCACAAAAGGATCATCAGGCTGCAGTCTCGCTTTCTTGTGCCTTCGTCTCCGTGGAGTGCTACAGGTATCCATCTATCTATCTACCCACCTACCTACTTGCCTATCCATCGATCTACCTACCTATCTACCATACATATCATATAACCCTAAGCCCACAAAGCCCTAAACCCATGATCTGTCTGTAATGGGTTCGGAGGTCTGTAAGGGCCTTTAGACTCTGGGGCCTTTAAGATTTAAGGGCACTGCTGTTTAGGGCTTTTCGGGGTTTGTCAATCACGTAACCCTAAACCTTAAACCCAAAACCCCAAAACCCCAAAACCCCAAACCCTAAGCCCTAAGCCCCAAACCCTGGGACTCTTTCAGAACATAAGCGGCCCAGGTCAGTTAAGGAATTCGGGAGAAGCAGGGTTCTTAGGGTTCTTGGGGGCTTTGTAGGGGCTTTGTAGGGCCGTTCTCGGGGGGGTTCAGGGTTCCTAGGGGCTTTAGGCTCATTATTTTTAGGCTTTTGGGCCTTTCGGGGCTGTCATCCGGGCCTTCAGCAGACTGCACCGATGGTGGTGGCAACGTCGGTTTCGTATTGACGTGGTACGATCCTTATTGGATAAAGCTTGCGGACAAAAACACCCACGATTTATCCAGAATTCAACTTTTAACAACCTTCGACCCTCGTATCCTTCAACCTTAAACCCTGCACCCTAAACTCTGAACCCTCGACGTCGTGGAAAAAATAGGTTTTGTAGCTCGCTCCAACAGTGGCCGCATAGAACAGAGGCTGGGGCTTGGAGTTTAGGGCTTGCGGGCTTCTTAGTCAACACATGGATTCCTACTTCCTAGACCGCAACCCCCCAGACTTCCTGAATGAAGCCTCCCCCAACCTCAGATACCCCTAACCCAAGTGCGTCGGCTTAGCAGTTGAGGAACCCTAAACCCAAAAATGCTAAAAACAACACAAAAAAAACAAACCCTAAACCCTCCCCTGTTTTATCGGCCTGAATCCGGGAACGATGTCCGGCACGAAGGTGGGAGAGCTGGCCATCATCCAGCTCTAAGTCCTTGAACTCAAGGCAGCTCTAAAGGGGTCTATAGGGGTTTAGGGTTTAGGGTTTCTATAAGAGAGATGATCATGGGTGTGGTGTTGTATTTCTTGAACGTCTGAGCATTTTTCATAACTCGGCATTCCTTGACCGCACAAGCAGTTGGTTCAAGGCTAGCAGGCACAGCAAACGGTTCCTTCAACCATAAACCTGACTCCAAGCCCCTAAACCTCGAACCACAAACGAAACCGCACCTCCACTTACAATAGAAGCCACAAAGTTGGAATATCAATATCACCCTACGCGATACACCAGCGCACTTCGTGGTTTCACGACACTCCAACTTTATGGTCCTTGCTCTAACCTGCCCTGTGGCAGGAAGTTCAAGCAAGCATTCTTGCAGATCGCTATCTGAGAGGTTCTCACCCAACACACACAGTGTGTTCAAGCCAACTCCCACGAGTCATGCGGGAGCTGCCCTGGAAATCTGTTGTAGAACCCTAGACAAACCTTGAGGTACAGCTTACTCATCTTTCATGCGAAAGGCGAAAGCGTCTCAGAGGCTTGGGACTTAGTAGCCGAGGCGAGACAAGTTTCTTTGCAATGGGGCTAGAAGCAAGCATACACGTTCTCGTACTTGAAACCCCAGTTGCTAAGTCTCCTTTAAGTAGACCCCAAACCATCGGAATGCTCGAAGAACTCCATAAAACCCTTTGTTGTACGGTTTACTGTTCTCCCATGATAAATCCTGAACACTAAACCCCACAACCTACCCGCACACCGAAAAATGCCTTTTCATGGACATCTATACCTCTGTGTGTGTGTGTGTGTATGTGTATGTGTATGTATGTATGTATGTATGTATGTATGTATGTATGTATGTATGTATGTATGTCTATATATGTATATATATGTATATATACATATATATACGTATATATACATATATATGTGTATATATATACATATATATATATATGTGTATATATATACATATATATATATATGTATGTGTGTGTATATACACATACACACAACCACACTCATGTATACTCACACACACACACACACATATATATATATGTATGTATACACATATGTACTTGCACAAGTCTTAGAATAAGCAGCAGTGAACATATGGGTAACTGTCGACAACATGGCCGTCTTTGGGAACCCTGATATACTCCGGCACCCTCTGGTTTGGGAACCCAAGGTTAGATCCTAAATCGGACAACCACCCATCTGTACCTCTAGGGTTGCTGGGTTGTTCTTTTAGGGGATTTTATTTTGTGGTAACTAAAGAAACCGTATTTATTATGTACTATAGATCCCCACTATGGTAACTTAAATAAGATTTCCTTTGCAAGAACCCAGTAACCCTAGAAGTGTGTGCTTTGAGGGTGAAGGTTTTGAACCCCTGAGGAGCCCCGGCCCCGAGCTTCACCATCAGCTCTTTGAGGTTGGAAAGCTCCTGGTGTCTTTTTAGGCGTTTTGAGGCTAATTATAAGGCTTACAGTAGGGCTTAGGGGTTTAGGGTTTAGGCCCAAACAAACTGAAGCATGCACCGGATGGAGTGTCGGAGGTGATCGGGAGGAGATAAGGGTCAATAGACGACATCAAGATCCTAGAGTCCTGGAGGTGGGGAAAGAAGACCTCTATACCGACGTCACAACAAGTCTCAAGTGTGAGATCCTTGCGTTGATAGACCTACATGTACAGTTGCAGGTGTTAGCATCTGCTTATGCGCGCACATTGCAACCCTACCATCCGTACCAAAACGCTAAAATTAGCCGCTAAAACCCGAAAACCTGCAGGCCCGAAGCCCTGCAGGCCTGAACCTCCAAATCCGAACCCCTGAAAGCAGACGTTCTAAGGCTAAGGCCCCGAACCCCTAAAAGCCTATACAGACCCGAGACGTTCGAGCTAGAAACCTTGCCTGCAGCGGGCGCGAGACGAACCAGCTCAGAACGAGCAGCATGAAAACGGCCTTCGGCTCTCCGAATCTCCTTTTATGCCTTTTCAGTACAGATATGTATAATTACACATAGTTGCAGCTCTGCAGTTCTAGAAAGTTTGATATTTTTATGCAGAGAGAAGCTTACGTATACAACCACAGCTGGCAGGTACGGATGTAGTAGACACCGATACAAACAGCTGTAGATAATATATGGTACAGACACAGGGAGACGTCGACACGGTTTTGGGCCACTTCGACATAAAAGTTGGTGCTAGATCAATGTCAGGAGGGCAGCGGGGCCAAGGCAACAGCCACAGAAAAGTCTCTTTCATCACGGTGCCCTGTCTCTGCCCCTTCAAGCATTCAACACCCGAAGCGCAGCTAACTCGTTCGCAACATGAAAGAAATCTTCCTCCTCAACAGCGCCAGAATTATCATCATGTTGGTCCTCGTCATGACTGTAGCACTGCACTTCGCGTGTACACAAAACGCGCAAAAAAACAACAAAAACAACAGCCCAGGCTTGACACCTAAAATGGCCCCACACTGCCCCTCGAGGCGCGCACAGCCACAGCAGCGGCAGCAAGTGCTGCCAAAGCCTGACAGGGATGCTTCTGATATAGGCCTTCCTTGCCTTAATGATCTGAACAGGGCTTTAGGGTTATATCTAAGTAGGAAATAGTCTTGATATTTATCTAGGTTTCTCTGCGAGGGCTCCTCCCAGGGCTTGCAGTATTGCAAGGCTCTATAGGGGCTGTAACGGGGATGCAAGATTTTTACACGGACGTTTCTGTAAACCAGGTACCTGACGAGGGGTCCTGACAAATACTGGGAGGGAACTGTAAATTACTCGAGCTCCTTGTATATATGAGCTGCTATCGAAACTTCTACTCACTTGCGGTTTGCAAACCAGGGCTCAATCCAGGGTTTCCATGAGTTTCAGGATTGCGGGGGTCACGCTACGTGTGCTTAGCTAGGATTCCTTGTGTTGTAAATCTGGCGGCTCAAAGCATCCCAACCGCATCTTTCGGTCCGAAAGCCTTCAAACATAAGACCTGGTAGAGAGCCCTAGGTTTGCCTTTTAAAATGGAGCTCGACGTTACAGCTGTAGAATGCAAGGGTCTGGCGAGTCACAACAGGGTTTCCTTGCCTGGGCTTCAGGGTATCCCAACAAAGGAAGCCTAGGGCTGCTTTTGAAACCCGGTTTAGGGACTCTGAGGTTTGGGGTTTTATGGTTTAGGGACTCTGAGGTTTAGGGTTTTATGGTTTAGGGGCTTTGAGGTTTAGGGTTTTTGGATGTCATGCCCTAGGATGTCCCTTTCCTTGGCACCCCATAAGACGAAATCTTGAAACCCCCGCACCGAGAAACCGAAACACCTTAAGTGAGGCCCGACAACGAGGCGTCGCAACGCCCTAAACCATCTGAAAAGATCAGGAAACTTAATAAGTAGTACTATACAGGTGTGGTAAAGTGCTTGTCACTCTAAGTAAGGTACGGTATAAACGTATGTGCTGGGTGCATGATTCTCCAAGGTATTTCGCCCTTCGCACATCCCCGAAGCCTCAAACCCTCAAACCGCAAGTTCGAACGCCCAAAGCTCATTGCCCCGGGACCCGAGCCCAGGACCATTTTTTTGATTCGTGGTGTGTATGTCTGTGTCTCTGTGTGTGTGTGTTTTTCTCTGCAAAGCCTTCAAGCTTTACATATTTGTCCTAGGCTTTTAAGGGTCTTGTTGAGGTGCTGTACCTGCAGACATACTTTTTGGTAGGTCACGTGCTTTGCTCGTTCTGGCAACGCACACCAAGCTCCCAGAAGCAACGTAAAGCCCTGCGCCGCAGAGGCCCATGAAACTTCCACACTCTCATCCCTAAGCCGGCAACAACCCGAAACTCGAGGCCGAGCTGCGAGAAGGGAGTCAAACTTCAGCTGCTCCGCAGCATCTACCTCAGAGCTGTGAAAGATTACTGTCATGTCTTCGATGGTTTCCTCAGGGTTCTATGGGGGCCTCTTAGGGTTTTAGGATCCAGGTCTGAGGGCCGATAAATTCAGGTGTTCCCAAATAGTTGAAAAAGACTTAGGTTGACATGATAGAGGTTCAGGACCTTCCCAGGCCCCGTCTGAAGTACTGATAAGACCTTTTAAAGGCTTTGCGGCCTTCAAGAAGGGTTGAGGAGTCTTTCAGGGTTTATAGGGCTTCAGGATTTAGGCGCAAGGGCTTGGAATTCAGAGTTTGCAAGGTTTTGGTGGGGATTAGGATTCAGGAGACGGATTCTTTCCGGTTTCGGATCTCTCTTGGGTTCTCGCGGCTTTTTCTACGATGTCGCTCTAGGGATTTCTCCAAACTCTGAAAGCTCCGAACCCGAAAAGCCATGTTGAATCCCCCAAAAAACCTAAACCCTAAACCCTAACCCCTAAACCCTAAACCCTACACCCTAAACCCCTGGCCTGCGTCTTCGACTCCTTGGTGCGCTCTGTGGCGAGGGAGACGAGGTTATCGTGGAAGATCGTCGGTAGAACAGTCACCTTGGTCAGAGGCTCGGGGGCCAGGGCTTGAGTTTTGGGGAGTTGGTGGGTTTAGGGACCTCTGACGTCCCCAAACCTACTCTTGTTGTAGGGTCCCTATAAATTTCTATAGTGGGGTATAACAAGAACCTACAAACCAGTAGGTTATGGTATTTTAAGGGAAGGTGTAAGTACAGCAGGTTTTCTGGGCTTAGGCTTTAAAGTTTGGAGCTCAGCGGTTCCAATGTTGTTCCAGGACTGTGTGTGTACACGGGCTGCAAAGTAGTCAACAGAATGACAAAGCACGTTGTTGAAACGTGATCCCTAGACATTGATCGTCCCGACCTCGTGAGGCGACTCCGTAACATCGAGCCTTGTAATCGAATCCAAAGGGCAAAACAGTTCGAGTGCCATCTTGGCTAGGTTTCAATATAATGGCAAAAGCGAAGCTTCAGGAATAAATCTCTTCTTCAAAAGCCGGGCCCCAACAAGTTCAAACTTTCTGAGGTAGACCAAACATAGGAGGCCAAAAGTTGAAACTCTCTGGCTTTCTTCGGGCATGATGGCTGACTATTCGTGCATCAAAAATACAATCCCCGAGCCCAGTGGGCTAAGCCGAAACCAACACAAACCTTGATCTTCTCGACTTGCTTTATCCAGCTTCTCGGATGCTCAAAGGTTAACAGTGCAGGGTGCACCTGCTACCCAAGAGATGCAAGGCGGAAATCACAACATCAAGGTCCATGAGCTTAGCTAGGCGGGCAGACTCCCAAACAAACGACCGCGGGAACGGCAGCGCAAAACCCTAACCCCCAGTTTCCCGAACCCGAAATTCTAAAACCCCAAAAAACCCGAGGAAAAGAGCTGAGGAATGCTGAAAGGATGCGAATGCTGCGTTCTGGATTCAGGAAGGAGGAACTGGGGTTCATGTGTCTTTCACTTAAGAGATCTGCTTCTGGCATTGAGATTTGCGGCTTTGGAGTTTGGGGTTTCATTCATGTAAGAGTTGTTTTAATAATAAACCGGGTTACAATAAAGAAAATTCCCTGCCCAGACTTTCCCGGAGGAAGACTACTGTAGATTGTGGACCCAGATCACCCCAGATCTGGCCAAACAACTGATGTTGGGAAGTTGGGACCCTGGTGATATTAATTAACAGGGTGAAAAGTAACATATTCCGAGCCAGAAATCCCCAAAATTTTAGAGCTTGACTGGAGGGAAAACTTGTTGTTGTAGAGAAAGGGAACTACTACTACTACTACTACTACTACTACTACTACTATACTATTACTACTTTTGCTAGTATTACTATCACTATTACTATTATGATTACTACTATTACTACAGACCCCGGACCCGGCCCGAGGTTTTTTTTAATTCCCACCCCTTCAACCCAACAACCACCCCAAGAGACCCCCGACAAAACGACCTCGGGGGGGGTATGGTTACAACTCTTACATTAATGGGTTTGAGGTTCAGCGTTCATGGTTTAGCAGGACACCGTAACGGAATTCAGTTTGCCAAAATATATGGAGATGAAAGTCACGCGCTTTCCTCCAGATCTCGAAGCCCGCAAAAGCTGCACTGCACTGCACTGCATAACATACCTTAGCCCGTTCTTCCCCCTCTACCACGGCCAAGGGGCGATGAGCCAGCTGGTCTCTTCGTCCAAGTCGAAAGTTTGAGTGCCAACAACCATGCAATCCTCGGACACAGGCATTGTTGAAAAAGAAGCTCGAACCTCTTGCAGGGCCTTACTATGTGAAATGTTTTGACACGTGGTGTACTGTATAAGGTCTGCGGCCTTGGGCTTGGAGGACGGCCGTGCACTGCTTTGAACCCGAACTGAATCCTGAAACCCTTACCAGACAAAACGATAGACCACCACAAGCTAACATCCAATTCATTGACTCAATCTTAACTCGAGTTTCGAGTTGTGTTTTCCGTGTCCCGAGCGGGGTTTCTCGGTAGCTCTTACCAAAAACCCTCTTGGAAAATCGACTCGCGCCCATGTTTAATGTCCCGGCGTATGTTTGGGTGGTGCGTCAAGACATCCTTTGGGCCGCGGGCTTCGTAAGTGCACACATGGGATCTGTACAAATGAACCTGTTGCCACGAATGCTCAAGCTCCACACTCGAAGTGTAGACATACCAGCCGTCGTTGGTTTGTATGTAAAAACACAGATGACATGACCCGTGGTCAGGGAGTCTGCTGCACGATGTGCTACCGGATTCTCCAGCAGGGCATTGTGCTCTGTGGCTTAATTGCATTCGGTCGCTCCCCAAACAAAGGCAATGTCTGCAGAAGAGAGATCCTAATTCAGCTGATCCCCTGAAATGGCCTAAGCCTATGAAAATGTTGACTTGAAGCCCTCAGCCCGAACTACCCTAAACTCTAAAACTACGTGACCACAGCCTAGTGGCAAGATCATGATTCCAGCTCGCCTTCTGGGCATCACAGTCCTGCATTCTTCGGATTTGATTTGCTGAACGGCGCTTGGCACGTTTTGGGAGTTTCGGCTAAGGCCCTCCAACCCGTGAACCCAAGAGTTCTGAATGCTATGTAGACACTATCGCGAGCTGTCTCAACAACCTGCTATATCCGTCACACCTGTGTCATTAGCCAGACCGTTGTCAATATCAGTGTCACTGCCACAACTGTCGATGTCCAGTCTTGCCGTTAACATGAGGCCTAGGCGACAGTATCATTATAGGAATGGGCATGTTCTTTCCTGAGCCCCACCTAGCTTGAAGTTAAGTAAGAACAAGCTTGTGCTGCAGACAGTGTCAAGGCGGATGTTGGTCTCGGTCGCCTTCTGCTGTTTAGGTCAGCATGAGAGAGAGCTTCTTTTGCGTCCGCAACATATTGGGTGGTCAGCAACCGACCATGAGTGAACCTTGCGGACCTTCCACTCTGTATGTATAATATATACAATTATATATATGTATATACATATACATACACATGTATGTATGCATGTACATATGTATATATGTACATATGTATGTATGTATGTATGTATGTATGTATGCATGTATGTATGTATGTATGTATGTATGCATATGTATGTATATGTATGCATGCATGTATGTATGTGTATGCATGCATGTATGTGTACATACAAATATATATATATATATATTTATTACACATATTTCTCATCAGTAATTTGGGTTGGACCCTCCTTGTGCCACGGCATTGCACGCTGAGCCCCAGGTGCTCAACAGTTCTGGGGGTTGTGAAGACACATGCTAAAGTTGTTCACGTGTGGGTTCTAAAAGGTCTTTGAGCTTAAACTGGCTTAAGGGGCTCTACCCGGCTCTTATCAGGATTCTATAAGTCTATATCCGGGCTTTTCTTGGATACCTTGTCTATATTCCGTTTTCATGCGAGAAAGCGAAGCCTGACATGGAATGTCGGCAGATTCTGCCAAGCACACACGCTGTCAGAATTACCATGATATGAAGGCATGGGCTCAACGTTTCGTCTGCTTGTTATGCAAACTGTGCAGGGGGAGGTTTTAAGATAGTGCCTGCCATGCGGTTTACTACAGAGATACTACAGTACCTGTAGCTGTACTCATACGCCCAATCCGGTGTAGAGCCACTAGTCGTCAATATGCAATACTTCCAAACACGAAAAGGAATTGAAGAGGCCGATGTCAAAGTTCGATACATGAAACCCCAAACTCCACGCTGTAAAGCCTGAACTCTAAGCCCTGCCTATCAACCCTCAGCGGCACTCGGCAGAAATTCGGGTGCTAAACGGTGCAAGGCCCGATCTCAAGAACCCAGGTTCTGAAGCCTACAGCAAGGGGCCTTGTACTCGGGTGTATCGGAGGTGGCCGCGGCCAAGGAGTAGTGAATGATGTTTGTGGAGCGCCTCCTAGAGGACCTCGGTCGGTTCTGCTCCGCAAGTATGGGGTTGAGGAAGGTTTTTTATAACTTAAAAGAGTTACGTAAGCGTTGGGGCATTCAGGGCGTTGGGAGGAATGCTTGAAGGAACAAGTTTTTGAGATTTGGGGCTTCGTCGTTTGGGTTGTGTCCATGATGTAGGAGCGACTCCTTGGGGATCAATCAGTGCCTCAATAATAGAGCAAGGTTTTCGGGTATAGTAAACTATAGCCATGATGAGGAACCTTGAAGAACAGTATTACTAATTTGTCAGGCCCCAGATGTGACTCAAGCGCCCTCTTGTCTCCTTTTAGGGTCTAGGCTTCGGGAGATTTGCCCTCTGGAGTCTCGGATCATGTTGCTATATAGCCCCACTCCTCTGGAGCAGAAGCCCAGTGGGCGTTTGGGGTATAGTGTCGTCTAAATGTCAAGGGTTGGATTGTAAGGGATACTAGTGGCAGGACCCCGACCCCTTGTCCGAAACGCCATCTAGTTGGCCAATGGTGATAAACCCAGTCCCAGAGGCAGCAAAGAGGAGTTCCAGCTGCCAAACTTCGCCTCCTCGACGGATCAGGGTTATAGGCTTCCAGGGTTTCGGGCTTAGGCAATCCGGGGCTTGAGGGTTTATTAGTGTTTCGAGCGGATCAAGGGCCCGTTTTCGGTGGGCCGGGAGTTGGCTTGGGGTGCCTCAACCCCTTTAGCCGTCACGCCCTGATTCGCCGCGCTTGTGACGCTACTTGCACTCAAGCCAGGATTAGGGAGCGTAGAGGCGTAGAGCTCAGGGTTTCATCTGGGACCCATATAAATGCCTACTTCGGACCCAGCTTTGAGAAGTCTAGCAAGTTCATGTTGACAAGAAGCTCAGGAGAAAAGGGGTCAGGGGATCGGTTTCTTGGTTTGCGGCCTGTGCTTTCCGCCCCTAAACCCAAACCCGGATCTGCTAAGATTGACCCGGCGAGAGCCCAGAGCGTAAACCGCAAAGCCAAACACTTCAGCCAAGTGTGAGGGGAGTCGCTCCCCAGGCCTCGATCTCTATCTCATGCGGGAGCTTATCTTGTCCGTGCTACTTCCCTAGGTAGGATCTGGAGGTAGGAGATCTCGGAGAGGGAAGGCAACAAAACCCGGCTGCAGGGCTGGTTATGAGGAGTTAGGGAAGTGTGTGGCTTGATCGGGGTGATGTATGTGTAACACCTCTATTCGGGCGTAATCTCAGGCCTGGGCCCTATGAAGATGAATCCCGAGCCCTAAACCCTTTCAAAAGAAGCCCGTGAACAATGATCAGTTTCGGCCTTGCCTCAAGCTGCAAACCTGAACATCGATCGAAAGTTTATTATGTTAAAGTCTTGAAGCCCGAAAGTCATAACCCTAAAGCACCCGGCTGAAACCACAGGCAAACAGAGAGACTTCCGATGATCCAAGCCGCGATGACTCGAGCCGAAGAGCGGACAAGCTCCTTATCTCAAAGCTTTTGGGCTGCTTAAGTGTAGGGTTTAAGCTCCTCGTCTCAAGCCCTTTGGGGGTTGCAGGGTTTCGTTGTCTCAGGACCCTCCTCGTACCCTCCAAAAGGGGTAGAGGGTCCAGGCTCTCCTCGAGGGTAGATGAAGGGACTGGGTGATTCTTGTTCTTGAATCAGAGCCTCGGGTGTGAAAACTTGGGTTCAGGATTTTTGTTGTCTTTTGCAGGTGCTAGAATTTAGTAACTATAGGGTTTAGTGAGGGAGTTGGAGAACCCTCCACAGACCCCAAACAGCCCCTGAACCCGAAACCGAAACCCATGCCCTCAGCACTTCGCTGCAGGAAAGGCTAAGCACCGATAGTTCCCACGTTTAGGGTAGGGCTGTGAGAGCGGCAGGAAGGAGAGCGAGAACAGAAGGATAGACAAAAGTGGAATCATGCTGTGATTGCAACAGTACTCAGGCATGTGTGCTTGTATCCGCCCTAAACCCAAAACCCTATTCCCTAAACCCTAAACCCAAGAACCATCGTATCCCTAGGGCGAGCAACAACTAGCATTTACAAGAGAGGCGCAGACTCCTCGAACGCCTAACACTCTGCTAGTAAAGCCCTGAACCCTAAAACCCTAAACTCTGAAAAACTAAACCCTACAGGCCTTTAAAACCTGCATCTCAGTATCGCGAATAGCTTTCAGGCAAGATGCGCCCTCCTTGCCGCCCAGATCACGGGCCTTTCATGCTCTTTGCCATGTCGCGTCTGGTGTTTAGGGGTTCAGCGGTTCAGGGTTCAGGGCTTCAGGTGCCTTGTCCTTGCAGCTTTTCGGGGGCTGAGCCCTGTATCAGGGCCCTGTAGGTCTGAGGACTCGGCGTCCGCCCCGACTGCCCGATGACAGAGCTGACCACCAGCTACAAACAACGCGGGTCACTAGGGCCCCGGGTCTATCTTTGGTGTCTATAAACCACCAAACAGCCCTTGGTCTAATTGCTTTGGGGCAAAAGGGTGCTGGGGTCTGTTACAGCAGTATATGCAGTTACAATACCAGGATTACACGTTTTGCTTATGGGACCTCGTAGACTCCTGCAGCTTTCCCCTCTCCCAGCGTCTTTAGGCGCCGAGCTTGGGGCTTCCAGGCTTGCGCATGGGAAACTCGGGGAGGGGACCGACCACTTAGCAATTCCTAGGCCAAACGATTTAGGGTTTAGGGTTTAGGGTCCTAAACCCTAAACCTGATACCTGAAACCCGAATCCCTCAACCCCTGTAAGCCACCCTCCTAAACCCAAGACTCTCAAGCCCTGAACGCTAAGCCCTCAATCAGGGTTTCGGATTGCCCTTGGGCCTGAAACTCAAGACGAAAGTGCCTCACTCTACGTCCTAAACCCTCTACCAGAAAACCCAATAAGACCGTCCCGAACCTCTGTGGATCAGCAGAAGGTACACCTCCCCGCCCCTCCACAAACCTGTATTGAGCTCTCACGGTTACCTTTGGTTCACTTGAGGGACCTGTCAGAAAAAAGTATTCAGAATGAGTTTCTAAGAGTATTGCCCGCCTGGCGCAGTTCGCAGTTCATGGCCTCCAGGCTCATCATCGATGATCCCAAGAAGAGGCCTCTCACGATTTTGGGGCTTCGGGAGGTCTGGCTTTCAACTGGCGGATGCAGGGCTTTGCTGGAACTTAGAGTTGAAGTCAGAGGGCTTCGTAATGCTAGAGGATTGAAGGGTCTAGCGTAGGATTGACAGTTGAGAGTTTAGGCGCTTCAGCTTTCCACATTGGGGGGGGGGGTTCTTTCAGGCCTTGCAGGTTCTGTTGTCTACAGCCATGCACTCTAGGGCCCCATATCACGGCTCACCCTGCGCTTTGCAAAGGACGCTCGGCTCATCGGCTCAGGACCCCGCAGCCTGACCCCGTCGGAGCTGAAAACCTTTAGGGTTCACTTATAGGGGCCTGGATACGTTAATTAATTGCTGTAAGCAGATTTCGGAACCATGCAGAATTTCATTGGTTGTTCCGGCCCACTATTTTCAGTAGGCTTCCGCTTAACTCATTCGCCCGGTTTCCCCGAAGAAGGCAAGGTGAAGCCGGGGGAGTACCTTAAACCCTAAACCTCTACGGCTGCAAGCAGCTGGCAGGTCACTTCCCCGACTTCGAATAGACCAAGTTCAGGGTTTGAGAGAGTCACGGGATCAGGGTGAGGGGCTTTTGAGCATGGGTCTTGGATCTTAGGAGATTGAAGCCCCTGCGCCCATAGGCACAAAAAGGGACCCAAGGAAAAACATGAACGACACGTGCATTCCGTCGGAGGCATTAGGGCTCCTCCCGGAGGCCCTTTTACTACGTCACATCACTATCAAAACAGAGAGCTGCATAGAGAACTCTACGTTCCAGCCGCCCTAGTGAGTCTAGGGGCTAGGGGCTAGGGTTTAAGCGTTTGTTTCCTGGACCCGCCGGAACTTGCTTGGTGAGCAGCAGAGGCCCCCGATACCTCCGGTAAGCACACCGGCCAGTTGGGGTTTGAAGCCGCAACCTCCAAAGCTAACTTGTTCCTTCGCTTCAAATTTTCATCCTGAATTTACCCTAAAATTAAAGGTTAAAAGTCCGAACCTTTGAACACCAAAGCCTAAAGCCCTTCCACTCTCAGCGAAATCCGACCATGCTAGGACCTGCAGGTCTTGGGCTACGGGTCTGCACCGATTCCTGCCGATGCAATACTTCTTGTGAGGAGCTAGAATGGGACTTGCGGGGATTCTCGTACAATTGCAGGAACTAGCAGGGCATACATAGTACTGCCAAATATTTAGCCCTCTTTATGACAGTGCTGCCATGAGGACATTCACAGAGTTTCTCTTCCTACTTCAACGAGTACAGTTCTAAGTTGTTCCGTGCTTTTTGACTGGACCACCATTGTCGCGAGCATCGCCAAGTTTCGATAGCAAAAGCTGCGCCTGGTGGGTCTGTCTTGGACTCGCGCACAACCATGTACACGGTGGCCTGGGGATACGGCTCAGGGTCCGTACTTGCTGGAGCAGCTTGGCTAGCTGTAACTATTCCTTAACCTAGAACACCCGAACCCAAAACCTGGAGCCCGGCGAACGGCCATTCCAGCCCTATTGCATCCTGGATCCCCGAGACCAGGAGTGACCAGGACCGCTGAAACAACCTTCACCCAGAGATCCTGAAGGGCTAAGGGGGCGCTCTTTGAGTAAATGCCGGCGTGCGGCATGCGAGGGGCAGATTCCCGGAAGAACCTCTTTCATCGCCTCGCTCGCACAGCTTGGCCACAGACCGGGTTTGTGAGGGTTTAGTTTTTCAGCTTTTGCTTTAGGGGTTCGCGGCTTTGGGGCTTTGCACCTGCTCTTTAATCCGGCGTCCTTGTGATCCACAAAAAAGGTCACTCGACAAACACACACAGTCAGACGAGAGAAGGTTCAGTAACAGAACCCCAAGTAGCAAATACAATCAAAGGCAAAGGGCTCTGTTGCTGCTGTTAAAGTGGACTTTTTTGGCTTTGCTGGTGTGTGTGGTTTAGGCATAATTAGGGCACAGGCATAGGGCTTGGGGACGTTTGGGCATACTTTCAGGACAGCTGTAAATCAAGAGCCATGTCGAATAAGCCCGTCAGAAAGTTGCTACGAATTCCGAAGGCTGTCCAGCAAACACAAACTGTAGAACCACCCCTTTCAGTGAGCCACGTCTCCTGTGAACCAGTCCTGAGTTCGTAAAACGTAACATTCTTGAAAACACGAAGGATACCCTACACTCCCAAGCCCTGATACCCTATGCTACTACACCCCAAACTCTGGAAAATCCTTAAACCATCAAAGCACAAGTTTGACTGAGCTTTCAGACCGAAAAGGCCGTCGACAGAATGGCGCTGAGGTGGTCAAGACCTGCGGCATCACACATCGCGTGGTTTCGGGTGTGGGACCTTGCGTGAGATGGGGTTTAGGGTGTCACGCATTCCCATAGAAAAGTTTAGAGGCAAATTGATTTTACCATGTGATGTGCCGTCCACACCATGATGTCGCCGGGCTTGCGGTTCACAGTCTTAGGTCTTGGATCGTATTTCTTCAGTTCAGCTAGCAGCCAGCTTGAAACAGTGTCACCACTACCAAACACAGCACCAATGCCGGATCCGCTCAAGCACAATCACAATTGCAAGGATCCGGCCGTTATCATCGTCCAGCATCATCATCGTCGTCATCATCAACATCACCATCATCAGCACCACCATTATCGTAAGCAGTAGCGCAGCAATGATGAGGGGATGAGCGTCTTCGTTTTGACGCTGGCGATCGTCGTGGCGGCGGAAGTGGTTGCATTGGTGGTGGTGGTGGTGGTGGTGGTGGTGGTGGTGGTGGTAGTGGTGGTGGTAGTAGTGGTGGTAGTAGTGGTGGTAGTGTTGTGGTAGTAGTAGTAGTAGTAGTAGCAGCAGCAGCAGCAGTAGTCGTCGTCGTAGTAGTACTGGTAGCAGCAGCAGCAGCAGCAGCAGCAGCAGCAGCAGCCAGCAGCCAGCAGCAGCAGCAGCAGCAGCAGCAGCAGCAGCAGCAGCAGCAGCAGCAATAGCAGCCGCAAAGACAACGCACAACGGACAACAAACAACGGCCAACAACAAACTCAAGCAACCAAGCAACC